ATCAATCTGCATAGCCACATCCATCACTAGGTCTTATTATCAGGGTAGGGCTTATATTTAACAAATGTATAGAAATACTGCTAGGGCTTATTTTTTGAGTAGGTCTTATTTTGGGGGAAACACAGTAGCATCTTGATGACTCCTAGAATTGTAAGAAAATGAATCTGTATCATCCATGGGTGTTTATTACCGCAACAACTGAAAAACTAATACAGTGGGCCATTTCAAAGCTTTGTTGTGAGGAAACATATCTTGTATTGCACAGTACAAAGTAAGCACCCTAAAAATGACAGGGAACGGAGACAGGGTGCTCAAGAAATAATCTAAATCTTGCAGAATTATACCAGCATATGCCCCTCTAGAGTGGCTGGATTGAGAAAGAAAGACCACACCAAGTGTTGACAAGAAGAGTGAATGGGACACCCCAGACACTGTGGGCGGAGGTGTCAGCGTTTTGGAGTGTCAGCTTAAAGTGGATGCATGAATACCTCATGACCCAGCAACTCCTGGATATGAGCCCAGCATGGACCCATACATATGTTGAGACACGGATATGCCACTGGCTCAAATGTGGAACCAGTTCATCAACAAGAGAATGGGTTAATAGACTGTCTATTCACACATTGGAATTCTATTGTATTTGTCCGCTAAAGTCACCTTAACAAAGTTCCACAGACCAGGCAGCTTAAATCACAGATGTTTATTCTCTTATGTCCTAGAGGCTGGAAGTCCGAGATCAAGGTGTCTCAGGCTGATCCCTCCTGAGGCCTCTCTCCTTGGGGTGTGGACACTGTCTTCTCCCTGTGTTCTCACATGGTCGTCCTTCTGTGTGTGTCAGTGGCCTCATCCCCTCTTCTTATCAGGACACCAGTCCTATTGGACCAGGGCTCACCCTGGTGACCTCATTTTCCTTCATGACCTCTTTAGCAGCTCTGGCTCCCAATGCAGTCACATCCTGAGGCCCAGGGGTTAGTTCTTCACCTTCTAGATGGCATTAGTAACCATCCAATCTCCCTAGTTATGATAACCCAAAATATCACCATGTATTGCCTCGTGCCCTTTGAGATGGGGAGGCAGAGTCACCCTTCCTTGAGAATCATGGCCATAAGTAGAAGATAGATAATAGATAGATAGATACATAGATAGAGATGATAGATATATGCATAATACATAGATAGATGACATAGATACTAAAACATTGATAGATGATTGACAAGATAGAAACACAGGTTTCTATAGATGATAGATAGGTAGATAAAGGCTCTTGTGTGCTGGCCTAGGGTTTCTTAAGCTGAGCGAGCACATGTGGGGCTGGAGGACTTTCTGTGGTGGGGCATCCTGTGTGCTATAGGATCTTGAGCAGTATCCTTTGGCTCCACCCACCAGATGTGCCCCCAAACAGACAGTTGTGACATGCAGACATGTCTCCACACAATGTTGGGCATCTTCTAGGGAGTAAGTTGTCTCCATCTGAGAATCATTGGGAGAGAGAGACAGAGAGGTAGACAGACAGAAAGATAGGATGATGGCTAGATAGATAGATAGAATGAATAGATAGAAAAGAGAGAAAGAGAGAGGGAGAGAGAGAGAAAGAAAAGAAAGGAAAGAGAAAAGATAGATGGATGGATAGATAAATAGATGAGATACAATGAAAGATGAAAGATAGATGGATTGGTAGGATAGATAGATGGAGTAAATGGACGGATGGACAGACAGGTAGATCAATAGATGGACTACAAAGATTGATTGATAATAGATAGAAAGATAGATTAAATAATAGATGGATAGACAGATGGATGAACTAGATGGACTAGATTAGTGATTTTCAACCAGTGTGCCCTGAGAGGATCTTAGGTATTCCACAGAAATTTTCAAAGATCATTAATTAAACAGTTTTTGAAAGACGTTCAAAGCACCATAAATATATTCATTTTTTTTACTCTTTTTTTTAAGCAACATAATTTAAGTGTGCTGCAGAAGTTTATAGTTTCAAGTATGAGGTGACATAAAAATAGAAAAACACTGGATAGGTTAGATGGGTGGATGGATAGTTTAGATGGATGGATTGATAGGTTAGATGGGTGGATGGATAGGTTAGATGGGTGGATGGGTAGGTTAGATGGATGGATGGATAGGTTAGATGGGTGAATGGATAGGTTAGATGGGTGGATGGGTAGGTTAGATGGGTGGATGGATAGGTTAGATGGATGAATAAGGATAGGTAGACAGATGATAAATGAAAAAATAGAGTTTTTCAATGTAAGGCAAGGTGTCTCCACTTTGGTCCTATGGACATTTGGGGCTGGAAGGTGGGGATGGCCATCACTGTAGTGCGCCGTCCTGTGCACTGTACCACACTGATATCACCCATGGCATCCACCCACCAGATGCCAGAGGCGTCCATATGTCATAACAACCAAAAATGTCTCCTTACATTGCCCAGTGTCTCCTGGCAGGCAGAACCATCCTGGTTGGGAACCACTGTCTAGCAAAGACAAAGTAATTCTTCCTCTCTTCTCTGTCCACAGGCATGGAGGCCACCAATGGCTACCGGGCCCTTCAGTGGAATGCGGGCTCAGGTGGGCTCCCAGAGAATGAAACCACTTTTGCCAGAGTCCTACAGCAGCACGGCTATGCAACTGGCCTTATAGGTGAGGTGACGCACGACAGATGTATCTTCGGGCAGGTGGGAAGACCAGTATCCAAAAGGACTTGCTTTCCTCTGTAGGAAAAAAATCATCTGTGTATTCTCTGAAGCTGAAGTTGATGCCTGGCCATCTTGATTACTCTTAAATTGTTCCCTGGTTTTGGAGTTTTTCTCATTAATGAGTTTCTTAAAACTTCAAAATCCTTCCTTCTTGGGATGTATCGACCTTCTCCTTAACCCCTTGTATCAGCAAGTTCTTCAGGGATTATCTTTCTCTAAATGGTCACTCAGCATGTCAGAACCCCTTCAGCTGATAAATGCTACCGTCCTTTATATGACAAGCCCGGGCAGGGTCAGAGCCCACCTCTTTATAAGAGAAGGCATGTGAGGGTCCTCAAGACCACCCGTAGGTTCAGCAGTTCATTCAGGATATAGTTGTATCATGGCTGCTAAATGACAGCTAAAAGATCAAAACTCAAGATGGAGAAGAATCAAGATGAGATTTATTTATTTTATATATATATTTTTTGAGACAGAGTCTCATGTCGCCTTTGGTAGAGTGCTGTGGTGTCACAGCTCACAGCAACCTCAAACTCCTGGGCTTAAGTTCTATTGGCTCAGCCTCCCAAGTAGCTGGGAGTATAGGTGCCCGCCACAATGCCCAGCTATTTTTAGAGACGAGGTCTCACTCTGGCTCAGGCTGGTCTCGAACCTGTAAACTCAGGCAATCCACTCACCTCAGCCTCCCAAGTGCTGGGATTATAGGTGTGACCCGCTGCACCCGGCCTAGAATTTTAATGCAATTTTTTCCTTTCTTAAAATGTGTATACATTTTTTGGCACCCTTTGTATGTGTGTGTGTATGTCTCTGTGTGTGTATGTAGGTAAGTGGCATTCTATAAGATATTTAATAGTAGTTTAACAACAGAGTCATCTATGGCAGGTGTCCTCAAACTAGGGCCCACAGGGCACATGCACCCTGCCTGGGACATTTATCTGGCCTGCCAGGTGTTTTTGCTGCCGCTGCCTGTCCTGCTTAGCAGCCGACTCGTCCCAGGGCCCGCAGTCTGGCCTTCCAAGACATGTGAACTGGCCCCCTGGTTAAAAAGTGTGAGGACCCCTGATGTAGGGTGGCACCTCATAAAAACAAACATTCCAGGAAACCTCCAACCTTTGATCATTTGACCACAGCTGTGGTGAGACTGGAGTGGAAGGTGTGCATTCCTGGGTGTGGTGGCTCACACCTGTAAACCCGGCACTCTGGGATGCCAAGGCCGGAGGATGCTTTGAGCTCAGGAGTCCAAGACCAGCCTGAAGAAGCGTGAGACCCCTGTCTCTACTAAAAGTAGAAAATCTATCTGGGCATTGTGGTGGCAGGTGCCTGTAGTCCCAGCTCCTAGGGAAGCTGAGGTGGGAGGATCACTTGAGCCCAGGAGTTTGAAGTCACTGTGAACTAGGCTGATGTGATAGACTCGGGTCTATCTCACTCGGATGGCAGCGGAGTGAGACTGTCTCAAAAGAAAATTAAAAAAAGAAAATAACACATCCCATCTCCTTGTGTCTTTTGAGCATTGTTGCCTGCTGTTTGACTTTTCATTTCAACACCCAAATGATTGTGAGGTTACCTGCGTAAGACAGAGCGTGTTTGGTTTTGTTTAGCCATTTTACTTTTATTTATTTATTTATAATTTAATTTAATTTAATTTTTTTTTGAGACCGAGTCTCCAGCTGTCACCCTGGGTAGAGTGCTGTGGCATCACAGCTCACAGCAAGCTCAAACTCTTGCGCTTAAGTGATTCTCTCGCCTCTGCCTCCCGAGTAGCTGGGACTACAGGTGCCTGCCACTACGCCTGGTTATTTTTTTGTTTGTTTGATTGCATTTGTCATTGTTGTTTGGCAGGCCAGGGCTGGATTGGAACCCTCCAGCTCCGGTGTATGGGGCTGGTGCCCTAGCCGCTGAGCTACAGGCACCAAGCTCATTCTACTTTTATTTTAGGCAAATGGCACCAGGGTGTGAATTGTGCATCCCGCAGCGATCACTGCCACCACCCGCTGAACCATGGGTTCGACTATTTCTACGGTATGCCCTTCACGCTTATCAACGACTGTGACCCCGCCAGGCCTCCCGAAGTGGATGCAGGGTTGAGGGCGAGGCTGCAGCATTACACCCAGATCATGGCCTTGGGGATTCTGACCTTGGCTGCGGTCAGGGCCTGCAGGCTGATTGCGGTGTCCTGGAGAGCAGTGGCGGGGATGAGCGGAGTCACGCTGGTGTTTTTCGTCTCATGGTATGCCAGTTTTGGGTTTGTGAGGCGCTGGAATTGCATCCTCATGAGAAACCGGGATGTCACTGCACAGCCCATGACTCTGGAGACCACAACCAGTCTCATGCTCCAGGAAGCTGTTTCCTTCATTGAAAGGTAACAACACAAACCCACTCTATACAGGACACAACTCCACGGAGCGTCTGAGGCTCTTTGGAGTCTCTGGGACCCCAGACACTGAGTTAAAGGAAAGCCTCACTTGCAGAAATCCGGCCTACTCAAGGGGACGCATTTCCCAAACAAGAGTCTCCATGGTTTTTTTCAAGTCACAGCTTAAACTGTCGTGAAGTAGACACCATGGTGTCCTGTACGTTTATTTATTTGGGGCCGTTGTAAATACTTATTCTGTGTGTTTGCATGAATTTATAGAGCACAGGTATAACTTTGTGACATCCATAACATGGGCAGTGATCTAGGCATTTAGGGTGTCCGGCACCCCAGTGTAGTACATTTTTACTGAGTATAATTACTCT